GAAGGGCCGGTGCAGACCCAGGGGGAGCACAAGGCCGAGGTGCAGGAAACGGCTGCTTCCGGAGGTCAAGGAATCGAGGTTCTCCATCCGACTTCGCATCACAGTGCTCTCTCGAAATCACTAGAGCAAAGTTCCAGTGAGCACAAAACGTGTTCACGGGCAAATCCGAGTGCTTCGTCAGAGGTCACCAAGTTTTTAGGGAAAACAGAGAGAGGCAGAAACAAGACTCTTCAGATGAAAGAGCTGATGTCTGAAGAAGCAGCCTTAATCCAGGAAACAGAAGAAAACTTCAGAAGAAGCGTGGTGGGCATCTTCAGAGAGATACAAGAGGAGATGGAGCACAGAAGGAAATCTTGCCCGGATGTCGAGGAAGTTAGGCATTCAGTAGACGACCTGCACTGCAGGGTAGCTCAGCTCGAGGCAAGAGTGAGCTGTCTGGACAGCCAAGTAGAAGAGGCATCCAGGGACGCAGTGCAGATGTCCAGGCAGCTGCTGAATAACGAGAAACTTCGCATCCGGGAAGACGAATTCAGAAGCTCCAACGTCCGTGTGATCGGAGTCCCAGAAAAAGATAACAAAGCGAATGAGGCAGAGGACATAATTAAAGAAATCATTGAAGAAAACTTTTCAGAGCTGAGGAGGAGCTCAAGGCTTGAGGTCGTCAGTGCTCAGCGAGTCCCCAGCAAGGTGGACGAGAGAAAGCTCACTCCTAGACACATCTTGGTGACATTCTGGAGCCCCAGTGAGAGAGAGAAGATCCTGAAGGCCTCACGAGAGAGAGAGAGGGGTCACCTACGCGGGCCAGAGGATCCGGCTGACGGCAGACTTCTCACTCAGCATGCTGGACACCCGGAGCCAATGGTGCGACATTGTGAGAGTCCTGCATGAGAACGGCTTCCACCCGCGAATCCGGTACCCAGCCAGACTGGCCTTTGATTTTGAGGGCCAAACAAGAACATTTTTTGATATTGACGAATTCAGAAGATTTGTTCGCCATGTACCCTCTTTGAAAGGATTACTAGAGAACATACTCTAGGGTCTAGGTGGCTGCAGCAAGCGGCAGCGCGCTTTCCCCACCAACACCCAGGAGGGCGCAGCGAAGGGAACATCGCGTCTGTACCTGCAGGGTGGGCATTCGACAGCTCTGCTGGTGCAGCAAAGGGAACGTTATTACCTGGACACCATTAAAAGCTGTACTAAATTTTAATGATCATCATAGCTGGCATAGAAGGTTTGTTTGTATGTTTGTTTGTTAACAAGAGAATAAACCCAGAGCGCTTGCTCTGAGCTGTGTTTTCAACCCTTGAGAAAAGTTTCTAGACAAGTCTCACCAAGGTGCCCAGGCTGTGGCTCACCTGTGACCTCCTGCCTCAGCCTCCGTAGCTGGGATCCAGCTCAGGAGGGAGCGTCACCACAGGAAACTTCACAATAAAGATTTTTCACTTAAAAAAAAAAAAAGAGTTCTTTGTGTGTTTTGGACACAAGTCCTTTACTGGGTATGTTTATAAATATATATATTTTTATTTTGAGACAGGTTTCACATCATGCAGTTCAGGTTGGTCTTGAGCTTACTCTGTAGCCCAGGCTGGCCTTGAACTTGTAGCAATCCTCTGCTTCAGCCTCCCTAGTGCTGGGATTATAGGCATGTACCACTATGCCTGACTACGTTTGTAAATATTTTCTCTTAGTCTATGTCTTGTCTTTCTCTTCACTTAACATTTACTTAATATGCTAAAAACCTCAAAAACTGCAAGTGGCCCAGCCTTCCCTCAACCACCAAGAAAGTGGAGATGAGGTAGTTAGCACAGTCACAAAGTTTTGAACTTGTTTAGGCATGAGACACATGCAGCTTACTCTTAGCCACTCAGATCAGTACTAATTGGAGTAAGGGGAGGGGAGAAATAGTAATATCACCCTATCATATGCCAAGAATAAGTCAATTTACATATCTTATTCTAGAACTATCTTAAGAAGCAGATCATATGCAGATAGGAGAAAGTCCATCAAACTCGCAAAGTATCAAACAAACTGTCCAGGGATCTTATACCCATTACATGGTAAAATTGGAACTCAAACAATTCCATGACACCAGTGTGACAGATGTAAGGCTAACCCATTTCAAGGAAGATTTCACAAGGGATGGATGACAGTGCCAAACCCTGCACCCAGAGGGTGCTAAAGCTCAGTCTCACCCTGGCAGAGGTGAGGCCCAAGTTGCTCTGCTGTCAGGTGGAAGGACTACTCATATTAAGATAATCCAGTAGGGCTGTTTGGTTTGAAGTAGGATCTCCAAAACAGCTGGGGATATTGAATCTAATTCTTTAAAGTTTAAAAAAAGTGGGGGGTGGGGAATTTGCGGGTTAGCTCAGTTGCTTAAAGTGCCTGCTTGGGAAAACTCAAGCGCAGGGGACTGCAGTTTGATACCCAGATCCACATGCCACACCAGACAAACCCTTAAGGCAGCTTGAGCCAGCCAAAAAAAAAAAAAAAAAAAAAAAAAAAAAAAAAAAAAAAAAAAATCCTTCTCAATTTTTCTCTAGTGTAAGAACTCAAAAGAAGAAATAAAAATTGAAAGTTATAACACAGTTAAATGGAAAGTGAGAACTTATGGTTTAAACAACGAAGAGAGTGAAAGGAGAAAATTTAGGAAATATGGCAGGGACAAAAGCATACATTTATTTAAACTAGATGGCTAAGGCAATGGTTCTAAGAATCTCCATCAGGTTTTTGAAAATAGCAGTTAATGGGTAGAATTCTCATCCTGATTAACTATATGCTGTTATCTGTGAACTGAGCAACTACACTGAGGATAGCAATGTGTAATACTAAAACCATGCTTGAAATACCTGTCATTTTGGTCATCTAAATGCATACTGCTTCTAATGTCATATCAATTATTGCTATACTCTCTTTAAAGTAATTCTTAAAAAGGTAATAAAAGAAAACAGAGACAAGAAAAAAAATAAATAAAAGGCAAAAGTTAAACAGAGTATTAAGGCTCCAGGTAAGCAGGCTGAAGCCCAGCTAGAGGGGGTAAACAGCTAGAGAACTGGGTCATAGATGAAAAAAGCCCACCCGGGCATCTGTCAAGCAACACAGTAGGAGCTAAAGACAGCCTATAGCTGAGAGGATTCACCACAGATCCTCAGCTCAGGAGACCAAGGCCCACTTATGCACCACTAGTGGGCAGGCCTTACTCTGTCTTGTGAAGGACAAGCTTAGGGTCTGTTCCTGGTTATGTCTTAAGGTCAACTGTTGTCACAGCCTGCTATTAAAAGTAACAGAAGGAAACCTCAAAGAAGGCAGAAACTTAAGCTTTAGGCCACGGCTCAGGAACTGAGCTGAGAGGTCAATTATCAGAAGAAGGATCCAGATCAAGGATGTTGGACACTTGAAAGGGATTTCTAAAACCCCTCTGACATTAGAACCAACCCTAGGTGAATGTAGGGCTTAGCTGAAAGGTGTTACCAAATGGGCCTAATTCCAGAAACAGGGGCATGGGGTGGCTAGCACACCTAGAGAAAACTGGTAGGTGGAGCCTTGGAGAAAGAAGGCATGGTCAGGAGACTTTGGGGACAAATTAGATTTGACAACCTGAAACCCCAAACTCCTTCAGGATTTAGGTGCACCATGCTTACTGCAATAAAAATGTTCCAGGAAAGATATAGATAGATAGATAGATAGATAGATAGATAGATAGATAGATAGATAGATAGATATAGATATAGATATAGATATAGATATAGATATATAGATATATAGATATATATTACTTTAAGTGAGGTAGGGGTAATGTAGTGCTTGAGGAGCTCAGGACCCCAGTATTGCTGAGGATGGCTGTGATACTTTTGGGGGATCTCTGCTTCTTACCTTGAGCATTTCTTCCTGGCTCCAATTCAGACCCCTCAGCCTGCTAGCGTAGATCCTTCACCCCGCTGCATAGACTTTCTAGTTTCCACCATTTACCTTTGGGCCTTCCCAGTGCAGATCGGTGAAGTGGGCCTGCATGAGACATTGTCATGGCTCTAGTCCTCAGGTTGGATTTGGCATTGTTATAGCTCTAGGTCTTTAGCTGGACTCCTGCAGGACATTATCATGAGATCCAGGACCTCAGCTGGATTCCTTGGTCTTTAGTGTGTAGACAGATTTCCTTCACTCTTCGTATATGATTCTTTGGGTGATTCATCATAATATAATCATATGAAATGTGGCCTGTATTGTTCCCCTTACAAAAATCCAAAACCATGACAGGCATAGTTCCTACAACTGACTGTACACAGATTTAAGCCCGGAGTTTTTAAGGAATACAGGTTTCTGGGCCTTACCACTTTAAGTTTTATTCATTTGTTTGTTTTCACACAAGTGAACACAAAATAATATTTATTAATGATCTTGATTAAGGAAGAGACAACCCAGTGGAAGCCTTCAAGAGTTCAGGGTCTGCCGCTCCTCCAAGTGACCATGATTCAAGGTATAGTTCACTGGGAACCAGGCATGCTGATGCACACCTGTAATCTCGTCACTTGGGAGGTTGAGACAGGAGGATCTCTGTGAATTCAAGACCACACTGGGGTTTACAAAAATGAGCACAAGGCCAGCTTGAACTGCATAGCAAGACTCTATCTCAGAAAAGAAGAAGAAGAAGAAGAAGAAGAAGAAGAAGAAGAAGAAGAAGAAGAAGAAGAAGAAGAAGAAGATATGGTACACCTCACAGCCATCAGGGGTGAATTACTTCTCAACCACCACATTTGCAACTTCATCTGCATTTAGCTTGGGAAAGCCCCGCTTCTTTGAGACATAGGTTTTCTGGTGGTGAGAAAATTTGGGGCTGGCCCTGTATGGGGTCTCAAACACGTTTGTTGATCTGCAGCTTGGCCCAGATGGACATGATGACTTGCCCCACGTGAATCCGTGTCACTATGCTGTGGGGCTTCCCAAAGGCATGCTGATACCTGTCAGGAGCCTTGACTGAGATCAGAAATCAGAGAATCCACTTGGAAGTGCTTCTTCAGGGTCCCTTCAGGCAATCACACAAGCAGCAATCTGCATACACAGCTAGGACAGCTGCTGTGTTTAGCCACTGCACACTGAGCAGCCAGAAGTAAAAGAACCTGCTTGGCTTAATTGGCTGCAGATTGAATTTCTGATTCAGTAGAAAGCATCACACTGTAACCACAGGTCCCCCACAGGACTAGAGGACTTAGAATCATGTTTGCAACTAGAGACTGACAGCAGATGGAGGCAACCCCAGAGATGGTCTGTTGCTACCCTCACTGGTGCACCTTCCACGGGTGCCAAGAGAAAAGGAATGTCCTGCTTGCTGTGAGCACAGCAACCTCACAATGAGGACTTATTGGCCTAGTGAGGTGGTCTCAGAGCCAAGAGACAGGAAACTGCTCCTTAACCTGCTGTGAAAGCAGACCCTGATCACAGCAGGCCCCCGGGCTGCAATGTAGGCCCCCGGATACAGATAAGGAGTGTTACTGCACACAAGGCAGGTGACCTTGGTTTAAATTCTCCCAGGGGGGCTGCATCCTCCCTTGCCTCATACCTAAAAGTTACTAGAAGGAAGCTGAAATGGTCTTGTGATGAGTAGAATAATGACCACCCACACCCTGTGACATCCGTGTCCTACTCCCCGAAACTGAATATATTAGGTCATGTGGAAAAACAAATGGTTGCCAGTTGGCTGACCTTAAAATGAGATTATCCTGGATTATCTGGTGGGTACAGTGGAATCACAAGAGTGCTTAAAAACAGAAGAAGAAAGGCAGATGAGAGATAGCCTAGGTGACAATAGCAGATGAAGGACTCTGTGCAATATTACTAGAGACATGGAGCCATAAGCCAAGGAGTGTGGGTGGCCTCTGGAAGCTGGAATGTGTTTCTGCTGACACCTTCATTTTAACCCAGTGATATCCATTCCAGACCTCTGACCTCCAAAACTGTGAGATAATAATTTGTGTTGCTTTTAAACCACTGAATATGAGATAAAAAAAATTTACAGCAGAAATAAGAAACTAAAACAGAATTCATTAATACATTTTTTTTTTCATTTTAGAATGCAAGAAAAAGGAAGGAGAACTTAAAAGCTTTGCAGACGTCTTTGTACTGCAGGGCCCTGCCAATTGCCGTCAATGTTTTCCTTTTCTTCCCCTTGAGAGGACAAAGAAGATTCTATATCTAGTGAGCACAGGCTTCTTTACTGGACTGAGTTTATCACACAGGTAAAATAGGATTGTGGCAAGATCCAGGACCTATATTTGAAGCATCCCAAGGCATCTATAGTGTGCAGCCAGGTTTGCAAACCACTGGTCTAGTATTTCAGTTCTAGCCCACATAATTATGAGGTGGCTGCACAGTGGGAGGATGAGTACCAGCAGATTATAATTAACCTGGGCAGACCTAATACCTGGAATGGCCACGAGGACTGGGCCTGATGACACAACACTTCTTGTGTGACCTCGTAATAGAATGGTGAGCATGCTCATTAAATGTGAATGCTGTGCCAGGACCGAAAACAGACAGAGAAGATATTTTAATTAATGAATGAAGCTTGTTAGGATAGAGGACTTACTGTTCTAGCAACAGGTAACAGCAAGCCATGGAAGGAGTGGAGGGATGCTTTGTACTGTGCACAGTTCAGTGAAGTCAAGTGCAGACCAGACGCTCTCTGTAAAAGGGAAGGAAACAGCACAACAATAGGCAGGGCCCTGGAAGGTTTTGCAACACTAGAAAATGATGCAGAAACAAGGCCGATCACAGAGCATGGTTTTGCTGGGGGTGCTGCAGGGCTGCTTGGCCTGGACTGCACAGAGGCCCTGAAATTTAGGCTTCTAACAAAGTCTGGTATCAGACAAAGGTATCATAGTCACACAATGCATGCAACAGTTTTATAATCCCATTTTTCCAACTTTTTTTTGGGGGGGGTACCAGGGATTGAACTTGGGGCCTTGCATTTGCCAGGCAGGCACTTATGCCGCTAAGCTATATCCATGGTCCCCCCAACTTCTTTTTTAATGAATTGGGAACATTGAAGAATAAGCCTATACACAATATTTGATTGGTCCCACAGTATATGAAGCTACTGTAAGTCTGTACCCATAGGACATTTTTGAAGGATACAAGAGGAACTGGAAGGGCATCCAGTAAGCAGAGCTGGAGACATTGAAATCCAGAGAGAACAGATTGACTTTTCTTTCTGAGCATAGTATCAACATGCACTTTTATGTTGTTTTTCTGCCAGTTATACATGCACATATATTTCTACAGAGTTGTTGGGTATGTTTGTTTGTTTGCTTATTTAGGGAAGGGTCTACAGGGTGTTCAGGGTCTCACTACTAGATTGGACTCATACTGATCCACCTGTTTACAGCCTCCTGAGAGCTGGGGTTACAGGTGCATGCCACCATGCCTAGTTTTAATTGCCGTCTCAGTGAGCCCCAGGGGCAAGGCCAGCACAGCAGACATGGGGATCAAACCCCTGGCCCTTGCACCTGCTTGCAGATGCTTTAATCTGTTGAGCATTTGGTTGGCCCTCTACAAAGATTTTTATACAAAACAACATCACCCAAACCTTCCTGGCCATTTTCCACACACTTTAACCCTTTATAGATTTTTGTTGTTGTTACTTGTCTCAGGTTTCTAAAAGAATATACTTGAAAAGCTATTCTATAAGGTTTTTATTTTAATCTTCAATGTTAGCCATTATTTGATTTCCCCAGCAGAGAAGATTAGGGTTTGCGTCTTTCCAACTGCTGCCTGGCCACACCTCCTCCTGCTTCCTCACCCCCTATTCTTCTAATATTTATGTTGTAACTTTGGCCAGAGAGAAAAGAAGATTGACTTTTAATGAATGAATGAATGATGAATGAATGTTTGTGTTTTCCCGGCATTAGTCATAGCTGTGTCACATAGTAGACCATGATAACTGCGCTCACTGCGCTCTCTCTCTCTCTCTCTCTCTCTCTCTCTCTCTCTCTCTCTCTCTGGCAGAACTGGGGATTGAACTCAGTCCCTTATGCTTGCCAGGCAAGTGCTTATTCTACTGAGCCATTACCCATCCCCAAAAACCCTCTTTTAGAGTCTTCTAAAATGTTCAGGGAGCTGGCCAAATAACTCAGCGGATTAAAGCGCCTGCAAGCATGGTTTGATCCCCAGGCCTGCCATGCCAGCCCCAGCCCAGGGCACACTGAGACAGAAATTGAGAAAGGGCGTGGTGGGGCTCACCTGCATTCCCAGCACTTGGGAGGCTGTAAACAGCTGGATCAGTATGAGTCCAATCTAGTAGTGAGACCCTAAACACCCTGTAGACCCTTCCCTAAAATACAAAACAAAACAAAAAATAAAATAAATAAATAAATAAATAAATAAATAAATAAATAGAGTAAAACATGCAGGGCTGATGAGATAGTTCAGTGGATTAAGTGCCTCCTTTGGCAAGTGCAGAGACCAGGGTTCAATCCCCTGTCCCCAATGCCATGCTGACCCTGCCCCTGGGGTACGCTGAGCCAGCGACTGAGTCTGGGTATGGTGGCCCACCCCAGTAATCCCAGGGCTGGGGATGCTGAAAACAGGAGGATCACTACGAGTCTGAGCTTCGTCGTGAGACCCTTTATCAAATACATAAATGAAAATAAATAAATAAATAAATAAAATAATGTTCAAACCTGTATCTGAAATGACACTCTCATCTTAGAACCTCTTTTAGCCAGGGTTTCTCCTTCCTCCCTTCTAGTTGAACACTAATATCCTGTTGTTTAGTTTCCTCATTATTTTGACCCATGTTTGGGGGATTTCCTGAGGCAGGGGTAGGTGATATGAACCTTGCCTGTTTGAAAATGTTTTAATCTGCACTGAGACATCATAAGTTGTTCAGGCTAAGTATACAATTCTAAATTGTAAATAATTTCCTTCGAGAATTTTGAAGTTCATCAGCACCTGGCCTGTCAGGCTGCAGCTGAGAAGTCTGAAGTCCTTCTGACTCACAATCCTTTCTGCAGGGCTGTTTGCGTCTCCATTTTGGGAGCTCATAGCACACATATATTTGCCTTCACTGTTCCGAGAGTTCCCCCTGATGTGCTTTGGTCTGGGCTCTGTTCCTCTTTGTGTGGCCATTCACTCAGAAATGCATACTCAGCAGTTGTGGGGCACATCTTTGAATTTTGTGTTCTAATGACTTCCTCTCTGCTGGTTTCTTTGTTCTGTTTTTGGTACACTTATTTCCATATATTAGACCACCTGCTCTGGTCTCTTAATTTTCTCATAATTCATTTCATTTGTCTATCTTATTTCTCTTTAGCTCACATTTCAGAAAGATTTGCTGTCGTTTTCTCTTACTAAATTTTTGTCTTTACTATCATGTTTCTAATTTCTAAGAATTTTTATTAAAGGAATGTTCCTTTTTCTATACTATTGTCTTACTTGGTGGTTATATATCTTAGCTTTGAGGATATAATCAGAAGCTATCTGTGTGATATTTCCTTCATCCTTTATTATCTCTTTTTCCTTTGGCCTCTGTATATCCTCTAAGAGGTTTCCACAACATCTAGGAAACCTAGATTATCTATTCTTTTTTAAGAATGGGAGCCAAAAAGCCTATGGGGAGTTTTGAACTTCTGGGCTTCTTGATATTAGCCTTTGCTATATGCTCTGGCTGAGGTATTTGGTCAAAGGACCTCCACATTAGTACCTTGACGTTTTTTCTCTTGAAGGGAACCAGATTCCTCTGAGAGGACTTTCCTAGGCTCATGTGTGGGGCACATACTTATGGTTGGCTGCCTTGTGGGAACAACCAATGGCTCTCACTTAGGTCCTCCATTTCAAGACAGCATCCAAGCCTCACCTCCGCCCAGTGCCCTCCAACCTGAGACCTGCTGTTTTGGCCTCTCTGGGCTGGGGTGCTGGTCTGGCTCTGCAGAAAGGGAAAAGACCTGTGAGTCCCACCGCTTCCTAAACAGACTTGGAACCACTCCTAGTTCTAGCATGTCCTATCTCGCTCCCAGAGGTAACCCATGCTGCCGGTTCCTAAGCTTTTGGGATTTTGGTTAATTTCTTGAATTTCTCCAGTACTCTTTTAGGATTCAGTTTCCCTGCGTCTGCACTGTCATTCATCACACTTCTCACTTTCCAACT